TGATTTAAATAATCGCATAGAGAATTGCAGCGTGAATCATATTTTTTTTAGTAATTAACCGATTTTTGATGACAAGAATATTATGCGTTTATTTTCTCTATTGCTTTAATGTATAATTAATGTGCGATTAATTAATTATTTCTTTATATTACTGATTTATCATTCACGTACACGTTACTTCTATCCAAATAACATTATTCATCCATTTCTATAAAAATATCTCAAGCTTATATAACGTGCATAAAATATACATCACACACGCGGACTGCATTGTTCACCAACAGTAATCCGACCCATCAAAATAACAATGCGACATAATACCCGGATAAAATCGAGTTCGCGAACATTGTAATTCTCGTCGCAAATCGGTGTTCTACTTTGTGCAGTAAAAAACCAATATTCTTGTTTATGCTTGTTGTAAATTTATCATGTACAGAAATAAATATGCGTGTACATATGTGTAGAAGAGAGAGAGAGACGGAGAAAGAGAGAAAGAGAGAGGAAAAAATGCTTCCTAAATTCTATATTTATTCTTATTATTTTATAAATTTAAAAATTGCAGTTTTTTCCTAATTGTATTTCTCGGCAACAGATTTATGTATTTCAATGGATTATTGTCAGATAGATCAATAACATTAACATAAAAAGTTGTGAGTTATTTATTACATGAAAAAAAACTTACATTTTTATATTTTAATAAATGATAGCGTATTGTGTAAAAATATCTTGCAAAAATCAAATAAACAAAATAAAAAATTCTCTGAATATCCTTACTTACGTATATAGGAGGAATGAGAAAAATATTGTAATGAGTTTTACTGTGAGAGCAAAGAAACGTCGTGTTCTTTTGAAACGAGCGAGCGATAACAGACAGCGCGAAACTCGATTTGACGTGTATCCGATCAACTGTAAACAACAGTACGTCAAAAGGAATGTCTTAACTTCTATATTCTTGGCATTTCCTAAAAATAGCACTCGAGAAGAGAGAGATGTCCACATTATCCGATCTCTCTCTCTCTCTCTCTCTCTCTCTCTTTCGAGACGATGTCTCATCCATTTTAATTTTCCTCTTCGAAAGCACACCACGTGCCCGCATCTTCATTCGCGAATGTTGAAATTGCTTTACGGCGCTGAAAATTGAATTTGACTCTTCGCTCGTTATTATCAATCGTCAGAAACAATCATTCGAGTTTCTTATTTTTTCAATTTTTTTTCCAACATTAAATTTTTTTAGAGACGCAATCAAGACAAAGGAGAGTGTTATATTAATTTGATAATAAGTCGCGATTTTCTTTTAACAAGATGAGAGATCACATCTCGGCAACTTTCCTTAAGTTCTCTTTCTTATTCAAATCAATCATTGTCTCATTATTCTTTGAAATTCGCTCTCGTACGAAGGTTTTCCCAAAGTGTTTGCCGAAAGGCGGAAGAGACAGGAAATAAAGAGAGGACACACAGAGCGAGCTTTTCATTTAGAAAGCGCTCGGTCGATTTCTCAAAGTGACGTAAATACAAATGCGTCGCAAAATGGCACTTTCAAACTGCATTGTGTCTGTTTAACGCGGTCGCGGCTGCGGTTTTGCGGTTTCCGCAGAATATTCGTCTACTCGAAGATTCTAACGGAAAAATGCTAGAGATTTAAGGTGGAATACGCTTCCGCGCGAGCATTACGCCGGTCCATTATGCTTGGCTTAGATCTCAAGGAGATGGATGGCCCCCGCGAACATATGGTGAAACGTGCATATAATGCGTTTCAAAAACCCGACGGGATTTTGCGTATTCTATATGATGACAAATATATTAGCGATATTAAACCGAGAAAATCAATTCGAAAACTGTTTGATTGACAGTTTTTTTTTGTTTTCGCTTTTTAAAATTGCGATTATTATCGTCTTCGAGTTTTTTTTTTTTTTTTTTTTAACAAAACTTCACGTAAATAGAAGTTTATATCCGTTCGAAAGAGTGGTTGCTATTAAATTACGGACCAAAAAGTTTAAGTCATTTTCTTCTCTCTATACACATGCGCACCTTGAGAGTCATTTACTGTAAATAAGAGAAGCTAGTCGAAGGATAGCTCTCATGTATATCGAGAATACCTACGCGGAAACTCCCTTAACAGCATTAACATTTCAAGATGCTTCTCGAGTCGAAGCCATAGAGACGGCAGAAACCGATCGGTAACAGATTATATCAACTGGCATCAACACATACGCGCGCGCGCACATATACACTGAGGAAGAGAAGGTTACCATTATATGTATATATATATACATATGATATATGTATCTTATACATATAAGATATATATATACACAGGCAGTAACGTATCGGTATTGCCATTTTCTCGAATAATTTCATGATTGGCCTCTTAGAAGCCAATTAATGCAATTAATGTCAAATTAGGGAACCTTACGCGCACAAAATTGAAACTTTAAAGAACAGATAGCGTTGAAAATGAGAGATTTTGATAAAATATATGAAAAAAATAATAACAGAATTCTGCATATGTCGTAAATGAAATTGGAAGTTTTTTTTATCCTTACGCTATTACCTGCAGCTTTCGTACGGCGATCTTGAAACGGACGGTTTGCGAGCGTGCACGATAAAAAATTAATTCCTATCCCAACAACAGCTGCCAGACACGACTGGCTTATCCGTGAGCAACAGATTTCGCCATAAATCGCGGAATTACTTGGACTTTAATCGAGAATTAGTAGTTTTTATCAAATACACGCACGAAGAACTCGCGAAAATCTGAATTTTATCGTTTCCACCGCGCGCCGATTTATTTGATCTTTTTTTTTTTTTTTTTTTTTTTGTCGGGACGAGAAAAAGAACAAGCAACCGCGGCAGATCAGCGGAGGAACAGAATGTCATAACTTTGTCTATTCTATCCATCTAGTTTAAAATTTCTATTTACTTTCACGCGCGCACCAGAAGTTTGCAGTGAAGGCTCAAGTGTCGTGTATGAGTTTGTGAAGAGCGACGAAAGCGTAAACGGATTTTCCTCCCGCCCGACATGGCGACTAAGGACCCGCTATTATTTACAAAAGTTCGTCGTCTTCCCTTACTTTCCTTTCCTCGCCAAAAGTCGTGGCGCGCGCAATCTTTAACGAAGCCGGGCGTGCACGAACTTCGAAGATACACAGCAGATGGTGGTGCTTTTTGCGGAAAGTCTTTCGTTTTAATCTTTGCACCATCCGACTATACGCTGATAACACGCTGTTTGTTCGAAATATAATGGTGTACGTGAGATAACCATATGCACAGGCGCGCGTTCGCGTTATATCTACGCGCGTAATATTGCGCGTACATTACGGCAGCTAAAAGATCGTTAGGGAAACATACTTTTTGTACGTTACGATCGCGTATTTTTTTATTTTTTTTTTTTTAATTAAGTGTGAAGCCGTGCGGTTCGTGTTTTATTAAAAGTTACGTTAAAACACGAAATTTAATTCGCGAAAATGTGAAGTCGCTTAATTGCGTGTGTACTTAAAATTTATCAATTACTTTTACACGAGAACACACGCGAGCGCAAATATATATATTATTTTATTGAAAAATCAATCGTGACCTCACAGAACTCGCGCGTTTGTTATTGTTGCAAATTTGACGAAAATGGATTGGAACAATTTATGTACTGGTAAATATCCTAAAAAATGACGATTCTTTCGACATTTTTACATGTTGGCACATCGATCAGTATCGATCAGATTAAAACCAATTATTTTTTGTCCAATGATAGTGCCCGATATCGCGAGGATCATATTTTTTCAGCGCTAAATCGATGCGCTTCTGGATGCTTCACATTGCGCGAAAAACCGAGAATGCGCGAATGATGCCTCAACAACGGTGATAAATCTCGTGTGTAATCGAAGCAAAAAAACAATACCGCTCCCATCCGAGAAAAATTTGCCGCGTAATGGATTCCGCTCCTTTGTGCACCGAGAATCGTGCGCGCGTCCTGCCATTTTTCCCCCCTCCCGATCGAACAGTGGTGCGAGCAAGAGAGAAAACCAGAAAATGTTTATATACGCGCGCGCGCGCCATTGCGGTTTCGCGATTTTCCGGTAACGTCGTTATTATGTCGTCTCACTGTAACCAGTAGAAAAAAAAAAAAAAAAAAAAAAAAAAAAAACAATTATTTTCGTTTTTTCTGATGATTCTCTGATTTATCCGTATCTCTTGCATACGTGCGATATTATTACAATATCGATCGCCAGCCCTTTCATTGAGGATAACACGCGTGTTCAGAAGTAGAACAGAATTACTTTGCCGCGACAAGTAGTGAGTCTCGCGTTAACGTCGGACAAGAGTCTGATTGCGATAAACATAGTCATCGGATATTTTCGGATGAACGCTCGTACTAAAATACACATTAACGGGGAAAGTAAATCTATATACATGCGCTTTTCGATATCGATTAATTTTATTTATAAAACTTTGATTAAAGATAGAAAATTGAAACCGTGATTTTAATTCACTTTTAGAAAACGTGTTGGTGGAAGCGAAGAGCATTCGAATGAAATATAATTGGCGGGGAAAAAAAAACAAAAACCAAAAATCCGCTTATATAAATAAATAATCAATTTGCAGTTCGCGGTACAAACCGTTGAGAGGAGAGAGAATTGTGCAATTCGAGAGTTCGATCGACCACAATGAAGAGTAACTCGACTCTACTCGATGATACGCGCGCGCGAGGAGGATCTTAGAAATCACTTTTCTTTCGCGCGATGTGCTCCGCACTTTGAAGAATCGCGATCCCCCCCGATGGGAGGGGGAAAAGTGCGGTGTATATACGCGCAAATACAATGGGTTTTTCAATTTCAATTACCGATATTGCTAGCGATATCGACGATGTTGTGTGCTGTACGCCAGCTCGTCGTTTCTTCCCCCCATCGCACATTCCTCTCTCTCTCCTCGGGGGGTTTACGTGAGATATATTTTCCACAATTTCGTAATTAATTCGACCTAGTTTGGCGTCACGTCGTTTCGCTTACCTGGAGATTGGGCGGGCAATGATCGAGAAGCTCCAGCATGTGCCTGATGTTCTGCGCGTCCTGTATCACGAAATTCAGTTCCATGTCGAATTCGCCGCCCACGAGCTGTAAAGACAAAAATGTTCCTGTGATGAAAAATGTGGCGACGATTGTGACGCTCACATTATGCAATATGTATATATATATATATATATGTATACACATGTATGTGTGTGTGTACAGCGCGTCATAAATTCGCGGTATATTTTAAACCGTAACAATGCTCGACAAAGCAAAAGCTCATATTCTAACTTGTGTGAATACACGTTATATTGGCTTTTGTGCGTCCAGATATAGATGAGAATAGCGATCATAAATAATAATTCTCCGCAAACGCGAATCGGAAGTTGGCGCGGGGAAATGTTATATATGCATCGTCAGTATTTAATCGCGGAAACGTAGCTAACTGAAAGCCTCGTCGTTCGATGGCCGGATGTATGTCAAACGAATGGTTTACGTAACGCGTATTTCGTTTTATATCAAAATCCGACTTGCTGTGACGCGCGCTACGTTGAAACAAATAAAATCGTTTTGACAAACACTCGCCGATTATCTCTCATGACAATGCTATTAATATTAATTGATAGGACATTCTCCTTCCCTCTCTCCTCCCTTCTCTCTTTCTCATTCTGTTCGAAATCGAATACAGCATCGCTTTTGTATATCCAATTTCTCGGTTCATTAAATGTGTTTGATGTTGAAAAACAATATCCGACTCGTGCGCGATACGTTATAAAATGAATAAACATCAGCGTTTTATGATACATGTACGAACGGCCGACAATTTGCATCGTCGAAATATACACGGCGTACATATTGCGTATGTTTTAAGGATGTTACAGTATTGTTTATGCATTGCGCGTAAAAAAAAAAAGAAGAAAAAATTAAAAAAACGCTTTTTTCTTGTTCTCCGCGTCATGTTTCCATCAACTGAAAAAAAACAAAACAAAAAAAACAAAAAAAAACCGTTTACATCGTAAACCATTTGTTAACGTAACGTATTTACGTAACGTGTACTTTTTACGCGATCTGCGCTGGATAATTAGCGGGGATGTACGTACAAACGTACGTAATTGTCATTTGGCGAGGACTTTGCGTGCATTTGGATCGCGGTTTGCGTAGTAACGATGTGTTATCCAAGACGATTCGGACAAAACATTTCGGAGGAGTTTACGAGCCACGTCCGCTTGCGGTTCTTTTTAGCGGAACGACTTATATATAGCCGGACCGGAAGTGCCGCCTCCACGGAGAGAGAGCGTAATTTCCGGAGAAGTATCTCTCGCGCGCTCGTCCTTCCCATCTTTCTCCGTCCTTCTCTCACCCATCGCTCTTCCGTCGCGCTTTGGTTTTCTTCCGAACCTTCGGGTACCGGTATATCGATCACATGGCCGTATCTGTATCTAAAAGTCCTGGCTGCGACCAATTTTTATACAAGTGTCGATCGGTCATAAAAATTCATGAGTTAAAACGAGAAATCGTTTATATAAAACCGATTGTGTCGAGAAAACAATTGAAAATCGAAGCTTATCGGTAGCTTCGACAGTTCCGATCGAAACGATAGCATCAGAAATCTCCGCCTTTATTCTCCGTTTCCGAGAAGCTGCATTACAAGATCGACTATCGTCGTTTCGGAAAGGCATTCGGTTTCGTTACACATTCCGGAAGAATACTCCCTAAAACTATTCTTCTGTGAAGCAGCAGCACACAGAAGGATAGTGGCGCTTTTCGTAGAAAGAGGAATGTTACTCTTTCACAAAACTCGCGCGCAACTAATACCGCTGTTTGGTGCCGCCAAAGTGTAAACCAATGTTGAGAAAATAGAATCGTTACGAGAGAGAGAAAGAGAAAGAGAGAGGCGCAGTTCTGTGTTCTCGGACTTTCTTGCTTTTTCCGAGCGCTTTTACTACTACGGTTCGCTTTAGCATGTCCAGAAAGCTCATGGTTGCGCGTAATAAGATGACAAAGTTCGCGACTCAATTCTGCACAACTCTCTCGAAACTAAAAGCACCGACAATTTCAACAAACATTTCCCCGCGCGTTTGACTCAATTTCGCAAATAATTTTCGTGAAAGAGGATAATTCAACGACGACTGATACACGTTGCGCGAAATCGGCTAATAGAATTTGAGAATTATCGATAAAACGAACGATTGTTGCTCGTAACTCGCGAAAATACGAATTCTATATATATATATATATAATAAAATAACACGAAAATATCCCGTCGCAATAAATTCCATTCAGCTTTCAAATTCGTCAATTGAAATATTTTTTGTAACGTTATTTATTATCCATATAACTTATCTATCGATAAGAGAGTCTCAATTTGTTTTTCGACACGGTAAATATTTTGTTCTATTGATATATTCTTTAATAGCTTTTTGGTACATTGCTTTCTAAAGTGCATGCGGACCGAATTTTATTATATCGGAACGTTACATAAAAGTGAGAGAAACAAAATTGTTGGTGTACAGCCGCTTTGGCGTGCTTTCAACTATTTACAACGCTATTACATTCTTGCGCACATAATGTACTGAGAAGCACGAGTGTGTAACTTCCGCGTCTGGAATTTAATTTAATTCTTTCGCATTTTACGCGCGCTGCTGGTTATGTCATCAGCAAAACTTACGGTCTCTGTTTAAAATAAAAATTTTATTATTTAATCAAAAATTAAGATATAAAATTAAAATTCGGAGAGAATAACAAAATCTCCACGGATGTGTTGCATGTTAGTCATTGCACGGGGAAAAAAGCTGAGAGAGATAGCATCATGATGTGTAGTTCAATAGTTACGGTGTCACGCGCCGGCCGTTCCCCGGAAATCGTTCATCCCTTGAGGAAAATAAGTCTCCGCGTAATAGAGAGGGAGAGAGAGAGAGAGAAAAAAGAGAGAAAGAGAGAGGGAGAGAGAGAGAAGAAGAAGAGATGGAGAGCTATTATTGCCGATAGGGCGGATATGCCACCGCCAGAGCGATTTTTCGAATGACCCATATCGCTCGCGCGAATCTTAACAATCTCGTGTGTCGGGAATCGAAAGGAGAGCCGAACGAGGGGCTTAAAAAAAAAAAAAAAAAAACCCTTCTGCGACGGGAGGGATCGATTTGCAATTTTCATATTATCACGTTCGAATCGCTACCTCGGCAAAATTTCGCAATTTTACAGTTTTTTGTGTCCTTTGAATCTTCAAAATTAATTATCAAAGAGATGATACATGCAAAGCCCCTTAAATTTCTCTTGCCAGAAAAAGCGTGTGTACATAATCACAATACTCTCGATATTAATTGTTGCTACTTTTATCTCGGAGCTGATTGGACGTTTCTCGAGAATGTGTTTCTCGATTCATATTGTACAAATCAAGAAGCACGGTAGTGCCTCTTATACGCAAAATTCATGTAATTAAAAAGTAAGAAGATTTCCATGGAGCAATATCACAGTGCTCGCCAACACACAGAGAAACGAAACAAAGCATGACGGTCTTACAAACCATATAATACATGAATGAGAAGTGTCAGAAGTAACGCATAAAAATCACACTCGTGATTATCAAACGTAACTAAAATAAAGTCACGCGACAGTAAGAAGAGAAAAAACAACTCGTAACTAAAGTCGCATGACTGTACTTTAGTCACGTTTTTAAAGACACTAGCACAACACAGGCGCGCGCTACGCGCACGCTATTGTTATTTTTATTTAACGTGTTGTCAGTGAACACAACCTGTCACCGTGATGATAGATAGTATATACGTCTTATAAAACATATAATACACATATGAGAAATGTCAGAAATAACGCACGAAAATCAAACTCAAAAAATAGTGAGAGAGAGAAGTGGAAAAACAACACGTGACAGGGAAAAGGGTAAAAAAGAGAATATTATATATATTATATGTAATATATTCTATATCTATATATAATACACACACATACGCATATATGTATATATATATATATATACTGTAATCACGTGACCGAAGTCAGTAACATCGCCGCGGTCGCGCGGCCGAGGTCAGTGACTCCACCGCAGTCGCGCGACCGAGGTCAGTGACTCCACCCCCACCAAGGCCGCGCGGCCGAGGTCAGTGCCCCGCCAAGGCCGCGCGGCCGA